TAATTTTTAAAATATGTTTAAGTCACATAATTTAATGTTCTTTTATGTTTTGCCAACAGATGTTCATAATATCTCAGCCAAGGATAACTATTTCTAGCCCAATTTCCCTAGTGATTCTGATCCGTTGCGCTTCTTTTACAAAAGCGTGTTGTTATCTCTTGGTGTTTGGCAGAACTTTGGCCATCTGCAGATAGTAAAATATACAAATGAAGCAAATAGCGGCGAAGTTCAATCGTAAAGTTGTTTATAGGAATTTTTTCCTTTCTTTACTGATCCGTTCGTGCTAAGTATTTTAGAATTTGCCAAATTTATATGCTTGTTAGAACTTCCTCTGTTTATTTCCAATACTCATTTGCGAACTGAGCGGCGGATGCAATTTTTTTCTGTTTTAGAAAACAACTTGTGGTAATGAGAAGCCTTTTATTATTTTATTGGCTAAGTACAGTAAACAACCGTTAAAGCCTATCTAAACAACCATTAAAGCCTTTCTTCAGATTTAAATAAATCATCAGAAAGTTTTTCTTTTCTTTCTTTCTTTTTTCCTCTCTTTTTTTTTTTTAAAGAAAAGATTAAGAGATTAAGCATCCGTGAAAGTCAAATAACATAGTAATGCATACTAATGTTTTTATATACCACCACTCTATATTATTACAATGTGTCAGAAAAGAATAAACGGATAACTTTAACAGACGCGTGTCTCACACAGCATAATTACTCACATTGTTCAAATTAATAAATATTTCATTAGTAACGTCGCACTTTATCTGTGAGCCAAATATAGAGACGACTTCGTGGCAAAGGTTAATGAATATCAAATTAACTAAGATAGTCATCAACCTTCGCGCAACATTTAGTCATTTTTTTTAATTGCATAAATGGAAGTGCTTCTGTGAGTCACATTTTGATGCAGTGGCACATAGCATATGCTTTAGTATTCCATTCGGTCACAAACTTAACAAATATAAAGGGTAGCAAACAGATATGAAATTCTTTTTATAAAAGAATACAAAAGGTACGTCAATGAGAAAGTGATTTTTCTTAACGGAAACTTGGTTTTCAAATACTAATATAGGTTATGAAAGCTCAGCTCACACATCTCAATAAAAGCATTTACTCATTTTTTGTACTTTATTTCTGCTCCACGTAAGTAAAAACCTCTCTTTCATATATTTATAAGACAAGCAAAAAATAAAGTGTTTTCCAGTACGAATGATATGATTTTAAAATGAAATAAAATAAAAAATAGTTTGAGATGCAGCAACACTTTTCATAATTATTTTGAAGTACAATTTATGAAATTATATTTTCAATAAAACATTATTTAAGTGTCCACCTCGAATGCATCTCCTCGTTCCTTTTTTGTTGGGGGGGGGAGGGAGGATGGTTCATTGATACCATTATGCCATAACCCACAATATACGTGGCCTTTTCCAAGTGCAAGAGCCTTTTTTGCATTTCTCGCGGATTGTTTTTCACACTAAACACGGCAATTTTGTTTGTTAGCATATCCAATCAAGCAAAAATGAGCTTCATCTGAGACATAATTTTTTATTTTAAATTAACTTTCTTGAAGCGTGTATTTAGCCATGATGAATTGTCACAATTCAATCAAAATCACATTTCTGACTCTATATCCCATTAGTTTGTCAATGATTCACCTTGTGTATTTAAAAACTCAATAATTTTTACTGTATTAAATTATAAACATACACTGAAAGATTTCGCGCATACAAAGATCCGTGGGTGGATTCTCTCTGCATGAAATCTATTGTTATTGTTGCATCTTTTCTCACTTGGCAAATAGTAAGATCGGATCAAGTCAACAAATTTTAGCGTGGTGAGGAACGCAGCATTGCTTCTGTTTTTCAAATAGACCTGGGAAAACTTATAGGTGATAGTACGACTTTGCCCAGTCTCATCCTAATTTTGAAGGAAAATCCCCGATGGGACGAATCCAAGGGTCTCTCACCCCTCTTCTCCTACCAAACCACAACTTTACCAATAAACCATTCGAGAGGACATTCGGCTCATCATGTATTTTAAGTGCCGTCCATGCCGCAAAGACACACAGCTTTCAGTATTCCTTAGAAACATCCAAACCTTCTCCAGTATTCGAACCTGGGCCCAGCGATACGGCAGCCAGAATCGTTAGCCACTATACCAATCAATCCGGCTTGCACGAAATCTTTAAGAATTTATTGACATCTTCAGAAACATATCAACATAAAAGCTACTCTTCACGACGAAATTTCTTGGTTTTGTTAGTGGGTAAAAGAGGATGTATCGCAGTGTGTGCTAGACTTCGATGAAAATCATATTTCTAATCCAGTTTTTTATTGAATTAATCGAAAACTTGCGCTTTAATTATAGCCCCATGATATTCTGATAACTAAGTCTATGCGGTCCGTCCTTTTTAACAATACCAATCTTTTATTTGTTTTACTCCTTGTTTAGGGTTTCCTATTCAAGAAAACTGAGCCTAAATGTTGCAAAAAATATTGATCTTACATTTAAAAAAAAATAAATAAAATAAAATAAAAGAATGGCATAAAGTAGAAGGATTTACAATACAACTAAATACTCTTCCGTCAAGAATCTAAGTAAGCTGAAAATCGTTACGCTCTCAAATGTTTCTTAGAAGTACAAGCTTACCTACAAAAAAGAAAAGAAAATTTCTTTAGTTCTTTAAACCACACACAGCAAGGTTAAAGCTAGAATGTTAAGTTATTCTTTGGAATCTAGGTCTTCGGACAAGGTTCACTCAAGACACAAAGCAAGAAACAAGATGGTGTCGTCATTATTTAACAAAGTAATTGGTCATGACCCAGCAGTGTGAGAACTACAGGCTCGAGACCCCGCAGTAAGTCACGAAACAGTTTATGGGGGAAAGGGGTTCCGGAACTTTTTAGGTTTCTATATTTTGTTAAATGACTTGTATGACCAAACTGCAGTTCTTTGATCCTTAAAATGCGACTATCATTGAAACAAACAGCAGTTTTATTTTTGAGAAATGATCATGATTTGAGAGAAAAACCGGTATTTTTTAGGAGAATCAGTAAAGCATCGTTTTTAAATTTACATTACATGTGTATAACAATTTGAATTATTTTCAAAAACTCTTAGCCAAGAGTTAATCATCTAAGCGAAAAGCAAAAGCAAATAATTACTTTTTTTTTTTTTTTTTTTTTTTTAAACTTTCTGCGATGATAAATCTACTTTTAGAACAGGTAAGAGCTTTGGGGAATAACAGAAAAGAAAAATATGTTAACTACATGTTGGCTTAATGATGTACTACATCAAATACTATTGAACGGCACTGCAAATATGTGTAATTGTAACCTGCATTAGAAGAAACAAAACATCCATTTTGCATCCGATGAATTACCTAAATGATTTAGGTACTTATGTATTATTTCGTCGGCCGCGAAACTCATGCCAAGTAGAGTGATTTAGCGCCAGTTATGGATAATCGTAACGTAACAGCACATTCAAATCATCTGTGCTTTCGTTTGATGTAACCCAGACTGATTCTTAATAAACAGTTTTGTTTTTTTTTGGTTTAATCGTTACTTAATAAAACAATAGAAATTAACGACAGCTTCTTTATGGAGCCCCAAAACGAAGATGGTCGAATTCTGACGTTTATAAATAAAGAGATCAGTTCTTTAGAACTCCGCAGGAACGACTGACGCAACTCTGGCGAAATCTCCGCCAGCTTTCATGGTTCGATCGTATCCAACTATCACAGTCGACGAAATAATATATAAGTACCATGATGGTGAGCTAGGTTTGAACTATGTTGATATTTATGTAGTTGCATTGATAAATTTTTCTGCAGAACACCTTAGTAAATTCAAAACGTATTATAAAATAATTTCCGTATCTCGAATTGTAGTCTCCCCGCCGGATATTGTGTTCTTTCTATTTTATTTTAATGTTTCCAAAGTAATACAGATCAAAATGAAGGAAAGCTGCTAGTTTTAGTTTTGGGGTTATTCTTTACTTGAATGAAAAACTTGCTTTATTTTTATAAAAACAACTACACGAGATTTCATTTTCGGTTTTCTTCTGTTATATATAATCTGACAATTATAAACAAAAATCCAAAATTTAGAAATTAGAAAAAAAAATGTTTGTTTGCTCTGTCAAAGAAAAGTTTTCAGTACATCGCACAAAAGTTTAAAATTTGTACGTGGTACGGACATACATTCCTCATTGTACAGCAAAAGTAATTAAATTATTTATTTACATTTATAAAGCAGCCACGTTTATTAAAAAATGCAGAAACCTTGTTAATTAATTCAAACATTCCCTCTTTAAAAACAGTTTTACTACATTTAAAATAATGCGAACATCTGGACGCCACTGTTATAAAGAACAAAATCAATTATAATTATGAATTAATTATAATATTAAATTTATATGTAATGTTTAAACGCGTTGTTATTTAATTACTGCATTATTTTTATCTAGATATGTTCTTTATCTCTCGTCCCTTCAGCCAAGCAATCGTATCCGGGTGGATAACGAATGAAGACCCAGTTAGGTTTCGAAGGTCCAGTTTCTTTTTACCAGAACTAAGCCTTTCATAGTAATTAATTATTTCAGAGAATACGAGGGACACATACCTAAATTAATAAATGCTTCCGTGGAGGACGTTCTAACAGAAATCGGCTGTTTGTCATTAATTTAACTTCATTTATTAATTTTTTTATTTACCTCTTTACTTTTATTTAATTTTAATCACCAATTAATTGTTATTTTATTAATTACTTTTTTCACTTTTCTTTATTAGACTTTCATTAGGCTGCTGCAGTTCTAATTTTAGAAACGGAGCCTTCCTTACATCACACACGAAGAAATCCACAGGAGTGTCGTGCAATCAACCCATTTAACATCGAGAACAGAGAGCAAAACGAATACTGTTTTTCCCCCATTCAACAAACATTTTCAAAATGACATTTGAATGATTTTAAAATTCTAAAAAAACCACTTCCTACCTAAATTTTCCTCAGATTTCTTGTGCATCTGCATGGTCTGCCGATAAAACGTTGTCGGCATTTTTATACTGGACTCCAGTCATATATTATCACAATTAACCATTTTAATTCATTAAATAAACAACTTTCATGAAAATCTTCTCATACAAATCAGGACTTTTATAACGGATGTTCATACATAGTTACCCATACCAGCTGTTCAGCTTCAATATTTAATTTCTTTCTATACCACTGAAATGCATACTGAAATACACTTTCCATACCACGTCATTCACAATACTCACATTTTCTCTTTAATATAGCCATATCTAGCATGCTTTCTTTTTTTCAGTATTTTACATCACATAAGTGAAGATATTTGACTGGAGAAGCAGCTGTTCTGTTTATGAAAGTTATCAAGTGAGTGAAACCACGAAGAAGAGCGATACGTTGTTCAAACAATGGTGCATGAATAACAGACACTGAAGTAAGATCTCATATTTCTGCAAACGAATGGTGTAATCTTCTTTAGATGCAATTCGATGCATTCTCCGGCATGTTGGCTTGAATATATATTAGAAAGAAAGAATGCAGATTTATCAGTTGCATACATATCGTAGAACTTGAGAACTAAGCTAGAGTTTCTAACAGGTAAATTAGCATGAAAACATGTGTTCGGAAACGTCAAGAAGCTTTATCGGCAAAAAATATATGACTGACAACAAATAGTTTCACCGAAATGTGTACATAGGGTTTCTTCCAAATATGCATTCTCCCCCTTTCCCGGGATTTAGCGCAGATTTCCATAAGAATTTTACAAGTTCTCGGGATTAACGGAATAAATTCAGAAACGTTTATAATTATTTTCGCAGGCTAAAATATTAGACACTTTATAACCAACAAAAACGAATGGAAAATTATATACTTATATCTGCATTTAAATAAATTTGTGAACCAATAGGCAACAAAGGGTATATTTTAAAAAGAACAACTTCTCCCTCCCCCCCCATAAAATTTACAAAATTTACATTCAAAATAAATTGTTACGCATTTCCACAATAACTCATTAAAAGAATCAAAATATCAATATTTTGATTATACTTAATCGTATTTTTCAATGAATGCTTCATCTAGAGAATTTTTTTTTTTTTTTTTTTTTTTTTTTTTTCTATTTCAACGGAGATAGTTGGAATGGGTGTTATTGATATACTATGCGCATAATGTTGGAGGCTATATCACCCATTCCTGTTTCGAATGCCTTGTAACGCTTATTTTAATTAACATGAAATTTATTTATTTCGAACCTTTCCTATATTTCTACTGTTTCTTCTACTCTGTCAGAAAACGCAAATCAAGTGAGTTTATTTAAAAAAACAAGGGTTGGCAAGCTTAAAAAGAGAACTTTTAAGCAGCTTACTCTCGGAATGTGGTGATTCTGATTTAGCTTGCCGAAGTAAGCTGTGTTGATTACTGGTACATTAGATTTTCATCTGTAGTTATATAAATAGGTGTGGTAGCACAGGAGCCAGGCTCCTAGACTTTGTAGATATCAGGCTACTATTGTGCCATCACTCTGCAAGCGGTTAAAGTTAATTTTTTTTTTATTCCCTTTATTTGTGACTTCGAGCTAAAGTACTAATATATAGTCAAGTTGTTTATAAATATTTGTTATTAGCAGTTTATGTCGTTAGATTCTAAATCAAGACGGGACGAAAATTCCTCCGTCAGTCTAATGAGGATGCTCCGGATTCAGATTGAGTCTAATTAGAATGCAACCTTAAAAACTGAAACCAATCTTTTTAAACTATGCTCAAATGACGCTTCACCTTTTGAGAAAATGATTGGCTAGATATTGTTTCAGACTAAATTACCACTTCTAACTCGTCTCTCAAAGTCTTCGGATTCACAGGCTCTTATCATCTTCCTCTACCATTTTCAGTGAGAAATGATGGATGAAATTTTGTTTTCGCAGAAAGGTCTGACCAGTACGTTATTGGAAAATCCAAGTAATGTGGCTTTATTTTGATAATGGCAGGAGGTCAGGTGTCAAATCAGAATTGGCATAAATTTACCTCTATTTAAATATTGACGCAAACCGAGCAAACGTTTGCTCAAACTTCTGTGAAGCGTCGTGCTTCGCCACGCCACTTCTGTAAAACTTTATGGCCTATTTATATTTATTAATTAGGTATAAAAAAGTATTTTCTCGGGAAAAGAAACCTTAGTGTATCTAGATGCAGGTTGTAAAACAACATTTCGGCTTAAAGCTATATTTAGAAATTCTGTCGGACACGTTTAAACACACCTGCTTGCGTTCAAAACCCTATCTTGACTCACAACAAATGTCCAAAGTAGCACCCAAATAAAAAGATCATTTGTGCTCGAAAAGAGAATCATCATTTTCAAGACTTTACGACTTGGTCTGGAATATCTCTTCTCGAAACAGGAAAGAGGAAACTGACGTCATATGAAACATGTTCTCTCGGGCTGAAAGGCTCCAGGTTATGTACCGAAAGCTGACAAACACCTCGCATCAGTACTTAAATGCGACGAAACCCTTGTTCGGAAGTGCTCTGGAACTTCTTTGCTATTTGAATCATAACATTTGACAACAACCAAAACAATTATAAGCACAAGGAAGTATCTTCTAGCCATTATTGAACTACCTCGATAAAATAGTTTAAAAATGCTTGCAAGTTTTAACATCGCAAATGATAAAAGACTGCAATTTATTAAATTTTGTAACAACTTTATTTCAAGTTGTCGAGTTTAAGAGTTTTATTGCATGGCTTTAAATATTTCTTGTGTATTTTTTATGTTTTATTGCATATTATTATTTGTTTATTCTTTTACTCCTAATTTGATTTAACTCTTTCATTACCACAAGTACTGCAATTTTCTATGCTCAGAATTTCGGCTAAACGCCCGAGATTTCCTCCTCCTCTCTTAATGAATTTCGTCTTCACGTACGTCAAGTCAGCAGATCCTTACGATTTTTCTCATTCAACACTTCAGTTTTTAGGCACTTGAAAGCTAAATTGACGGAAGACAAATACAAGGATTCCCGCTCTTGTGGCAAGAGTATATAATTTAGGTGATGTGAAACTCTTAAAAAATAGGAAAAAAGTATTTTCGTTTGTTCGTGAGTCGGCCGAATAAAGAATTCTGCAAACAGAGTAGATGATGATCCGTACGGGGCTCGAATACTGCAAAAGTAAATTTAAACTTCAGCTGCTAGGACGTGATCTTCGTAATTTTTCTCTTTTACTTTTTCTAACTGCCGATATTTTTTCTTTTATGTAAGACGGATATTTCAAGTATACAAGAATATGCTGTGTCCTTCAACACTGGTCGTTTTCTGTGCATCCGCACAAGTATTCCCTTTTTGTTCATAAAAGCATCTTCTTCGGGAAAATGTTTTTCACAAACAACATTTCTTTTACTTAAAATAAAATTCGCTTAATAAATCTTTGACATCACAGTTATTTTTTGCGGCATCCTTCAGAGACATGAATCGGACCATACTATTTGATTTCAACAGAAATTAGGTTCGCAACAATAATCATGTATTAGTAACGCACAATTACTTAAAAAAATAATATTCGACAAAAACGCACTTAAAATTTAGACAAAATTCGACTTTAGCTATTATTAAATAAACTTAACACTACTCCCTACTACGAAATGTTTTAATTCACTATTTCTTGTTTTTCCCCTTAAGTAAAAAATTATCTTACATATGAATTAATACCGTATATAATCACCAGCAGTATTCAAAGCATTGAGTAAAAATTTGGATTTTCTAATTCTGCTAATATCAGCATCAACTAAACCAACGGAATGACATTTTCACCCTTAAGATAAAATAACAACTTAATAATGTAATTCACTAGTTGATTATATTTGCGCGTATACTATAATGCGGTTTTCATACACCAAGTAAAACTAAATTGAAATTACTACATAAACTGTTGAACAATCAAAGTAATTATAAAATTTTATAATAAAAATTTTCAAATAGATATAGTTGCGTTTTTCTTCTGACACCAGCTGTTATGTTATTTTTCCTTCACGTTCGTACGGGGTTCGTGGGGATTTGGAGTGAATAACGACAACAGCACTTAATGAAGTATCGAAACACACTTTTTTTACCAATATTAATCAGGACAGCCTCCAAAACACTTTTACAGTCGTCGAAGATCTATTATAAACACGCTGGCACAATCAGCGACACACCCTTCACACTATCAATCTATAACGGTCGAGACAGCTTCACCGCAAAGCACCAGAGTACAGCTCCCGACTCTGCTTGGTCATTCTCGGAACTTCACGTACTCTCGAGACTCTCCGCGCTACACCTCGCGATGCACTAGACGACACACAGAGCACAGCTCCCAACTCTTCGGTTCAGTCGTTCCCGAAGATTAACACACTCTCTCGACGATGCACTAACCGCGATTCACTAAGAGACTCTTCGATGCACTCGACGACCCACTCAGCGCTAGACTTCGAGACACTCGCTCAATGACTGACTATCAGCTCGCTAGACGAGGCACACACTGACTGCAGACCAGCAGGGTTTATATAGCTTTCGGCTTGTGTTCGAGAACATTCTGAGCTAAACCGGTAAGAATTCGTTCCAGAAGGTTCTCCATCCGTCCATGGCATATCGCCAATTTTGTCGTCAAATGTCGCCAAATGGGCGATTTCTTGCCATTTTATGGCAACCCTAAAACTGCTTGCGGAGAAGCTATCTTACCGCGCCTGTACATTTCGTCACAATATAATACTAACGCTCACACATTATTTGAATTTTTTAAAAATTTGGGGCTAAGCAGCTTGCTCTTTGTGGAAATTCAGGATGCGTACCTGACGCGGATGATGTTTCAGGGGACAAATCTCATCATCCTTCATGACAATGCGCAGTGTCATAATGCAAGAGCTGTCACGGATCTCCTGCGAATGACGACAGGTTGTTCTACATCGGCCATACTCATCCGATATGAAATCCGTGTGACTATGATCTCTCGCTGCGAGGCACTTACAGAAGTGGACGTATTGATGGCATACAACTCCTTACAGTAACGAAGGTGAAAGACAAGGCAGGCGATCATATACAGGGATTGTAAATGTTTGCATCTATGCTAATAAAATATTTTCGGAATTATCGATGTGTTGCCACTACCGCTTATCCAACCCTTTAAATGGAAGAAGGAAGTATAATACACTTCACCCACATACTATGATTGTGGCGCAAATCCAAAATCACTTATCTGGTAAATGTGTGATACATTCAACTACTTCTTTAATCAACTACATAAAAATTTCACGTATAACTTAATACATCACTTAGTTTTTTTCA